TTGGAAGTATATCTGATAAGATTAAGGAAGCTGATGAAGCTCTGGAGGACGCTCAGGCTGATTTATTGGTAAATCCTATGGATCAGGTTGGTATTGACAAGGAACAGAAGGCTGTAATTTCTCTTGAAAGTGCTCTGAGAAATGCAGAAATACTCATGGCTCAAAAGTCAAGGATGCAATGGCTAAAGGATAATGACAGGAATACCAGCTTCTTTTATTCTAAGGTGGCTCATCATTGGAATATCAGCACTATTACAGCTTTGGAGGATGCTACTGGAGTTTGGACTGATGATCAGAAGAAAGTTAGGGAATGTTTGGTGGATTATTTCAAATCTTTGTTCACTAATTCTTCTGACTAAACTCAACAGTTAAATCTTATGGCTCCCAGAAGTGTCTTATCAGGTGAAGAGGCTGATGCTTTAGAAGTAGAGATCTCAATGGAAGAGATAAAAGGGGTTATAAATTTCAATGCAAGGCTCCAAGGCCTGATGGTTTTACGGGTAGATTCTTTCAAAACTACTGGCACATAGTGGAAATAGATGTGGTGGATGCTGTGAAATTCTTTTTCAACAATTCCAAGTTGCCTCAAGGGTTGAATAGTACTATTTTACTCTTATTCCCAATAAAAATCAGAGTATCAAGCCTCCTGATTTTAGGCCTATTGCCCTTTCAATGTTTTGTACAAAATCATTTTCAAAGGTTCTTGCAAACAGATTACCCTATGTTACATGGACTTGGGTAAGGGTGTCGGACATGGGTATGTATCCACGTGTCAGACGTGTCAAATCTCCAAACACGGACACGGCTAAATATTCATTGTATTAATTATTTTATTTTATTTTCTAGAGTAAAGTAATGTTTTTATCTAATATAATATTCAATATAGGCATTAACTCTTTTTAAAGTAATAATATAATGTAGTTGAATGATTGGATATGTTTTTTAAGTACACGTTTAACTAAAAGTGTCGGACACATATCCCATACCCATGTCTGAGGGATATGTGTCCAACACAGGTACTTCACTACTTCTGAAGAGTCCATGAAACAAAGAGATTATCTAAGGTGTTACAGAAGTTTGTTGGGCAATAACAAATATTTTATTTTACTATTATAAGTAAGATTGTATTAGGCCCTGAACTCTCAATGTATCCAAGAAATCTACTATCTCCCCCATTGATTTACAATTCCTCCCAATGACCCGACAACAAAAAAGAGAACTAATGATGGAGAACTTCAGCGCTCCAATAGGAGTCTCCTCGCTATCAAAAGATCTCCTATTCAGTTCCTTCCACAAACACCACTAAATGTACAAGGGTGCCACCCTCCAAAAGTCACATGTTTGGGAACCCACCGTACAGCCTCTATCATGCCTCTAGCGTACTGAGGCATAACCCACTGAACCCCAAACAACCCCAAAAGCATACCCCAACTATCCTGAGCCACTGGACAATGCAGCAAGAGGTGATCTACCGACTCTTCATCACTTTTGCAGATACAGCACGGTGAACAACAATTTGTCTCCTCCTCCTCAAATTGACCAGCGTTAGAATCCTCCTCTCAACAGCTGTCCAAACAAAAAAGGCCACATTAAGGGGTGCCTTAGTGCGCCAAACAGCCTTCCACAGGAAAGCAGGCCCAACAGCATTGGGCTAGAACAATCTGCTTTTATCACCGGTAGATTAATTCTAGATAATTCGATTCTTGCCCAAAAGTTAATCATAGGTTTCAACTGGAGGATTACTAATCCTTCAATTTCCCTAAAAATAGATCACCACAAAGCTTATGACAGTGTTTCTTGGAAATTTCTTTCAACTCTGCTGCAGTCTCTTCGAATTGGGGACAGATGGATCAAATGGATAGAAGAATTATTTCTTCAGTTAAATTTTCTGTTATGGTGAATGCGGTCCAATGTGGCTTTTATAGTTCTGAAAATTGGCAGAGGCAGGGATGCCCCTTGTCCCCTCTACTCTTTGCTTTGGTGATGGAATATTTCTCTAATCAGATGGAGAAAGCTACTTCAAGCAGTCAAATTAAGCTTTGCAGCACTGCTAACAAGTTAAATTTAAATGTTTCACATCTTATGTTTGCAGATGATTTGTTCTTGATATCCAATGCTGATTTAAAGACTACTACAGCCATTTCTCAGGTGTTAACTGAGTTTCAGAGGGTTTCTGGGCTGAAAGCAAATCAGGAGAAGAGTTCAGTGGTTTATTTTTTTATATTATCTTTCAGAAAATGTAGAAGAATTATGCGTAGTTTATCCTTTAGAAGAGGGTCGTTTCCTATCACTTATCTTGGCCTGGCTTTGCAGGATAGAGATTTGTTAACAACCATCTACTCCAAAAGCTTGAGCTGTTAGAGAGGGTGGTGTAACTTAAATATATAAATCCTTCAACACGCCCCCTCACGTGTGGCCTTTTTTTGGTCCAACACATGTTTTTCAATATTTTAATTAGGGTGACGGTGAGGTTTGAACTCGAGACCTTTGGCTCTAATACCATGTTAACAACCATTTACTCCAAAAGCTTAAGCTGTTAGAGAGGGTGTAACTTAAATATATAAATCCTTCAACAAGGTTTAACCAAGGCTGCTTGTAGTTCTCTCCTTGACAAGATTACTACCAGAATAAATCACTCGAGTAAATATCAATTGTCTCAAGCTGGCAGAGTGGAGATGGCGAGGTCTACTATCTATGCTACCATCTATTGTGGACAGCAGTATGACATTCCTGTTGCTGTGAGAACTCAGATTGAAACGAAATTAAAGAATTTTATTTTGGGCTATATATGAAGTATTTTGAGATATTCTCCATAGAAAAATATAGGATATAGGTCAAGTGCTAGTAAGCGTGGGACATGGACATGATATGACATTGATACGCTAACACGTCAAATTCTAAAAAAGTAGGACACGGCCAAGATAAATAAAAAAACTATTTATATATCTATTGAGTAAGAAATTATAGAGGTTTAACTAATTGGTAATTACTACACTAAAGTTACACAAGTTAGAAAATGATGCTATTCAGACATCAAAGAGAACATATAATATTATATAGGATATTAGTCGCCTATCTTGTCATCACAGTGTTGTTTCCAGCACTATCTTGTTTGTTTATATAAGACAAAGAGTGTAGGATGTGTTGGTCGAGTGTTCGGTATGTTTTAACCAAGTATCCAAGATGTGTCGGCCCAGTGTCCGAAATAATAAAAATTACTTTTTAAATTATGGACACAGCCATGAAATGTCGGACAAATGTCCAAAAGTGTCAGTGTCTGACGCGGACATGACACCTTCTAGAAGTGTCTGTGCTTCTTAGTTCAAGCAGTTTGAGAAGAAATATTTTTCAAAGGTCAATATTTGGAGATGTGGTATCCACTTCAATGCTTCTACTATTTGGAAACATAAAGCAGACACAAGATCTTTCATGCAGCAGTATATGGTGTCTGAGGTTGGAGAGGGTAGTAATTTTCTTTTACTCCATGATCCTTGGTGTCGTGGAAAATCTTTGTTTCAGAAATAGGGAGCCAGAATTTTGAGGGAAATGGGTCTTGCAAATAATGCCAAGGTGCATCAGATTCTGTATAACATGAATTGGCAGCTTAGTGTTATCCTAATTATGCTAAGCAAGCCATTTCTGATGTCATGGTGGGATATGATGCTGATAGAATGATATAGAAACATGGTACTTCTGTTTTAAATCAGTTTGGAATCTGTGCAGAGAAAGGAAAGAGGAAAATTTTTGGAATAGACTGGTTTGGAATTCGGGGATCCCCAGGTGTTCTTTTACTGCTACTCTTGCCATGCATCTATTGTTGCCTACATTCACCATATTACAGAATAGAGGCCTAACTCTATCTGCACAATTGATATTCTTACTCAGATCAGATCAAACACTTGTTTACTTCATGTAGCTTTGCCTCTTAGATTTAGGACAGGTTTGAGTCTTCTATTCATTGGTCTAAACCTGTGCACAACTCTCTCAATCAGTAAGCCAGATGGTTCGTTAGTCTATGTTGGAATAATTTCTCGAGAGCAAAGTTTTATTATCAGATATTCTCCACCATTATATGGGGCATTTCTATAAGAAAGGAATGCTCGAGTTCACTCTGATGTGAAGAAATCTGCTGCTCAGTTAGCCAGAGAGATCTTTTGCAAAGTCATGGATTGTGCATCTTTCAGTTCATGATGCGCCCACAATGTGCTTCAGATTATTTTGCTGTTTTTCCAGTTCTGTTTTATTCTACTGCTTTTTATGTTCTTAGTTATTGGAAATGGATGTATTCCATTGTTCATTATTTGTAAGTGAGAGGGAATGCCCTCTCTATTAAGCCTTGTACTCTTTGCATATCTTTGGCTTTATAAAACAACCATTCATGAAAAAAAAGAGATGAAGGAAAGAATGATGATATGAATATTCTAAATTCTGTCGCAGTCGTATAAGTGTGAAAAGTTAAGCATTGTAATCCTACCTATAATAAATGATAGTGTGAAAAATCATTTTTTGTACCAATAAGAATGTGTATGACCTTTAATCATACTCAATTTTCATCTACAAAATTGACCCTATGCGCAACTAATTCAACAAATAATAATAATAATAATAATAATAATAATAATAAAAGACATTTCATGTGTAGTCAGCCAAAAATCATATACACAGCTGCCCATCCATCTTTTACAGTCAGTAATTTCTCTCTACTTCACCACCAAGGGCAGTAGCCTAGTTGTATTTCCTAACTCCCAAAGTGGAAAGTTGGGGTTCTCTCTACTTCCTTTTGCAAAAGAGTGTGACTTTCTTGCCGAGGTAAAAAAAAATACAAAAAAAAAATTCGTTTTGGAATTAATACTTCCTCTTAAGCCTTTTCCCAACATTGAACTATCCAATATATAATACCAAATATTCGGGGAAAAAATATATATAGTACCAAATTATTTATAGGAAAAGGATGTACAATCAATAGCATATAACATATAATCAAAGAAGTAGATGATTACTAAAGCTGCTCCAGCAGGAAGTTTGGTTCCAAGGTACTTGGCACGCTTTCTCGCTGTTTTTTTATCCTTCGTCTCCATTAACTCCCGTGGACTTCCTATAAGAAGTGCATTGTGAGGATCAAAAGTAATCTTCTCAAGCATTACAGCACTCCTAATTAAATATTCGCAAGCTCAACATCAATTGTATGCCCAACAAACATCAATTGCATTATTCAGCACTTCACATCATCCAATCATGGGGTCAATTTTATAACTGGGGGCCTCTTAATTTGTTTGTCTTTAATTGCCTGTTGAACAATCTCTGTTACTTCTCCCTACTGCAATCTCAATTTCTCCTTTTTCACAAAGTTGTTCTCTTACCAATAGAATTATAAGGAAAAGAAAAGATACCAAAGTTGCCTTCTAATGGACAGCATACCTTAACACATTTCTAAGAGTTGATGAACTAATAGATTGGTGGGTTCATTCTAAGCATTTATGTTTGGGCCTAAATAACATGGAATCAGTCACATCCTCGATCATTGATCTAAATGGATGGTTTTGCCTTTAAACCAAAATCACTCCGATACAACACAAAAGGCAAAAATGGACTATAGCGCTGAGCAATCACTCAACAATCTGATTAAAGTAACCATATTTGAATTAAACATACAATGAGAGCAAAGAATCCTCAATACTAGCATGGTTGAAAAAGTTAAGGAAAAAAGAAAGGAAGAAAAGAATGTGTTAGAGATGAATTCACACTATTCTGAAGATCAATAAGACTAAATCTAACATAATAAGGTAACAGACTCCAAGAGTTCCTACTCTTGGAGCAATTAATTAGTATCAATTGCGGGTACTTGAACAATCACAAGAATAAAGCAATCTATGCACGTGTAAAAGTTAAGGAAAAAAGAAGGAAAAAAAAAAAAAAAAGAAGAAGAAAATAAAAGAAGAAAAGAATGTGTTAGAGATGAATTCACATTATTCTGAAGATCAATAAGACTAAATCTAACATAATAAGGTAACAGACTCCAAGAGTTCCTACTCTGGGAGGATTTGTTGAGCAATTAATTAGTATCAATTGCAGGTACTTGAACAATCACAAGCATAAAGCAATCTATGCACGTGTAAATATCAATCGACCACGTAAAACTCTTAGGCAGTAAATATTAAATCAACATGAGAAAAACAGTTGGATATATATACATTCACAAAATACTTGAACAATTGGGAGAGTAGAGCAAACTAAATACTGTAAGAGTATTTTTCATATAAGTTTTTTTTTTTTTTGATAAGTAAAATGTATTAGAAAGCGTTCAAGAGGGGAACGCATCCCAAGAGCTGTACAAGAACCAAGAACAAAAAAAAGAAAGCTTAAGGATCCAAAGATCCCAAAAAGTCCAAAAGCTCCTCAACAGAGGAACAATCTCTCCCCATACCCCAACTAAAAAGAGAACAAATAATAGAATATTTAAGAGCCCCAATGGATAACTCCTCCCCAACAAAAGATCTTCTATTGCGTTCTTTCCAGAGACACCACCAAATGCAAAGGGGAGTCGCCCTCCAAAAATCGCGAACTCAAGCCCCCACCCTTTGTCCCCTCCAGATATCAATAAGACCCCGTGAAGTCCGAGGCATAACCCACTGGACGCCAAAAAGACCCAACATAAGACTCCAACAGTCATAGGCCACTGGGCAGTGCAAGAGAAGGTGATCCACACACTCTCCATCAGTCTTACACAGACAACACCGATTAACAATGACATGTCTTCTCTTCCTCAAATTGTCCAGAGTTAGGATCTTGCCCCGAGCAGCAGTCCAAGCAAAAAAAGCCACCCTAAGAGGAGCCTTCGAATGCCAAACCGTCTTCCATGGATAAGAGGGGGTCTGAAAACCGACAGACAAAAGAAAAAAGACCGGACCTGAAAAGTCCCTTGCGAAGAAGGCACCCAAGTCAAAAGGTCCGCCCCAGTACCAGCCACCTCATATCGATACAAAAGGTCCAAAAAGGCAGTGTCATCATCCAGCTCCCAATCCTGAAAAGCTCGCCGGAACCGAACATCCCATGAAAACCTACCACTATCAAGGCGATAGCAGTCAACAACCAAAGCATGGCAATCCACAGCAATCCTGAACAACCTTGGAAACTGACGACACAATGGACGCTCCTCGCACCAAGGATCCTCCCAAAACCAGACACTCCGACCTTCCCAGACTCTGAATCTAATATACTTAGAAAACTCATCACAACCCTTCCCAATGGACTGCCACACACCCACACCAATAGCAGATCTAGCTTGTCGAGCAGACCAACCCCCTCTATCCTCCCCAAACCGACAAGCAACGATCTTCCTCCAAAGTCTATGTCTTTCACTGCCAAACCTCCAAAGCCATTTGCCAAGAAGGGCCCTGTTGAAGGGGGCCAACCTCCGAATCCCAAGGCCTCCTGACTTAAGAGGCTTACAGACCTGCTCCCACCGAACAAGATGATACTTAAACTTCTCCCCCCTACCGCCCCAAAGGAAATTACATTGAATCTGGATGATACTTAAACTTCTCAAGTCTCCTGACAACAGAGGAGGGAATCTGGAACAGAGAAAGGAAATAAATTGGGAGGCTGGACAAGACACTCTTCACCAGCGTAACTTTTCCTCCCTTCGAAAAATATTGTTTTTTCCATCCAGCCAACCTTCTCTCGAAGCGCTCAACAACTGGGTACTAACAACCCACCCTTCTTGAGGAGACCCCCAAGGGCAAATCGAGATAAGAAATAGGGAAGGAACTCGTCTTACATCCAAGGACAGCTGCAGGGAGTTCAGCTCCTGAACCTCCCCCACAGGAACAAGCACACTTTTTCCCACGTTAATTCTCAAACCAGAAATAGCCTGAAAACAAACCAGGACACATCTCAGGTAACGCAATTGGGACTCCTCTGCCTCACAAAAAACCAACGTATCATCCGCAAACAGCAAGTGAGAAATCTCCAACTGATGAACTGCCTCTGGACCAATCTTGAAACCCCGAATAAGCCCCAAGGAAACAGCCCTCCTCATCATCCTGCTAAGAGCCTCCATAACAATAATAAACAAGAAGGGGGAGAGGGGGTCCCCTTGCCTCAAACCACGAGAGCTACCAAAAAACCCCGAAGGGGAGCCATTAACTAGCACCGAAAATCTGACAAATGAAACACAAGTAACAATCCAATTCAAAATTAAGGGAGGAGATAAAATGAATTAGTTGAACTTTCTAACCTTGATGGAGGTCATGTCCAATGTAAGGCTTACTAGCTGAGAAAGATAGCTTGAAATCCCCAAAAAGTTATAAATTAGATAATTGCAATACTCACCCCAATATACATTTCAACAGGCCCCTGGATGTTCTTAAATGGCAGGCTTATTTTGGTACGAAGTACTTAAATGACATGAGATTCACAGCAGAAATCTCAACACTTTCCACATAAAAGCAGCGAGATGTCTCCAAGCCCTTCAATTTGAGTGATAGATTGGGAACTTTCAGATTTACAAGACAATCAGATTTTTGCACAAACAATTGTTCCAAAAATGGACAGTTAGTTAAGAAGTACTCGAGTACTTGTCAAATTACATTCACGTGTGCTAGCAGGAGATGATTAGGGAGTTCCAGCTAGTAAAGCTAAGAGACAATGAATGCAAGTGATTTGTAATATGACCCAGGAAAATTTTAACTGTTAGCCAAGATATGATAGCCTAGAATCATGAGATGTGACTTACTATATTAGCCGAGATATGATAGCCTAGTATCATGGAATTTGACTTTATTTACGCATATATTTAGGCATAAACTCTACTGTGATTTTATTTGGTTTCCCTTTTATGTAATATTTAACATGTGCTCTTTTAGTATATAAATACCAGAGATGTGAATGAGTGAGCATTCTCAGTTAAGCCTTTACATATTTCTCTTGTATTTCTTCTATCTTGTATTTTTTCTGTAACCCTCACTCATTAGTCATTCCCCAACTTTCTGAAAGTCCAACTCAATCCTTTTAATTCTCTTTTCTATTGCAAAGTTAACCCAATTGTCAATATCAAATTTACAACTTTCATCAAGATTAAATTGAAATCTGAATTCATCTATACTTCAACCATTGTACGATTTCAAGACTTGAAGTAGAATTGGAGTGGGTTGGACAAAATGGAGGCAAGCTAGTGGGATTTTATGTGGTAAAAGAATAACATATAGGCTAAAAGAAAATTTCCATAGGACCGTTATTACTTGTTACACCTACTATGTTTTATGGAGCGGACTGTTGTCCCTAAAACAAAAACAAGAACAACGCCTTCATGTAACGGAACTGAGAATGTTAAGATGGGTGAGTGGAGTGATTAGAAGAGATAGGGGCACTAATGAAAGTGTGAGAGGAAAATTAGGTGTAGCACCCATTGGTGAGAAAATTCGAGAGAGTAGACATAGATGGTTTGGACATATGCATTGGAGACCTAGTGACATGGCGGTTGTAATAGAAGGTAAGAGACGGAGAAGGCGGCCAAAAATTACATGGGATGAGGTTATTAAAAATGATTTTAAAAAGTTAAATATAGTAGGTGAATTAACATGTTATAGAAAAGCTTGGAGAGAGAGAATTCATGTGGCCAACCGCATTCATATGGGATTAAGGCAAGGATCGTGACGATGATGATGAAATACAAAGGCTTTTCTACTTCAAGTAGCTTATCTCCCAGTATTAGTTCATTTATTATATGTGAGGCATCAAAGTCAAACCAAACTATACCTCCTTTGATAACAGACTAGTTCTATGGGGGCTCACATCCGGGATGCTTGGAAAGGTTGTCCTGTGGGGGCTCTCATCCGGGATGCTTGGAGGGCTACGCCTCTTTGTATTTGATGGAAAGGAGTTGCCTATTTCTTGTCTTAAGTTCTCCATTGTTTCCACTCTTTTTTGTTGGGTTTCGGGTAGAGATTATAGATCCATTGAGGACATTGTCATTTTTTTGGCCTCTTTGAAGGCTTAGAGGTTTTTTGCCTTTTGTGGTTCCTTTGGAATGCGCTCCCCTTTTGAACATTTTTTATACCATTCTTACTTATCAAAAAAAAAACAGACTAGTTCTTGCCGCTTCTTTCATTGTCAAAAGTGAAAAGATTGAAACAAGGACTCCATCAAGAAGTCCACTAATGTGATTCTCCAAACACAACCCTCCTTTATCAACCTTCTCATTATTGCAATTAAAGAAAAATAAAAAATAATAATTAAGAAAGTGAGATAACAAAAACACCAATCCCTAAAAGTATAGTCTATACTGTCTTTATTATAAATTTAGCACCACAGTGGGATCCTAGCATTGTCTTTAGCTTTCATGGTGCTCAGTTCTTTCACTTCTCCTGACGAGGCTTCCTTTCTTTGTTTAACAACCTATTTTTTATTTCCATCATCATCATACTCATTTTGGACAACATTTTAGTACACAGTGAAGGAACAACTATAAGACCATGTATTCACATTCGCATATAGACCAGTATATATGATAACATTTAAAATTATCAAGTTTTCTACTTTTTTGTATATTTTACTCAGAAATGATCGGAAACTTAACTTGTTTCTATAGAACATTATTCAGATAAGGAGGTATGTCCTATAATCACGTGAATCAGAGAAAATTCCGCCTTGGTCTGGTAGTTATCTTATCCCACATCCTTTCTGTAAATATTCTATGGGTCATTTGCCTTGTCATTCACGGCTATCCAGAAAACTCGAGATAAACCACAATGCTACCATCCCGCAAGACAGTTTGCCTCAATAATAAGTCCTAGGTGAGGGTACCTATGTGCAAGGCCGAATTCCTTTTATGTACACAAGTATATACGCAATCACGACTACATTTGAAGCAAGTATATGACTTCAGCATGACTGCATTAACAGAAGGAAATGCAATATTTTCACATTGTGAGAAAGTATAAAAGAAAATAATCATCCTTTTTTCATGGAAACATGTCTAAAAGGAAAAATTAGGATTTAGTGACCCAAGGAAAAATTAGGCTTAGCAACCATAAAGTAATAAATAAACTTAAGTACTTAACCTCCCATTAGGTCACTAAGGAATATCTAAAGCTACGTTCAAAAAGTCTCTACTTATTCCATTCTATGGCATAACAGAACCACTAAAAACGCAAAGGAAAAATTAGGATTTAGTTACCCCAGGAAAAATTAGGATTAGCAACCATAAAATAATAAATAAGCTTAGCAACCATAAAGTAATAAATAAACTTAAGTACTTAACCTCCCATTAGGTCACTAAGGAATATCTAAAGCTACGTTCAAAAAGTCTCTACTTATTCCATTCTATGGCATAACAGAACCACTAAAAACGCAAAGGAAAAATTAGGATTTAGTTACCCCAGGAAAAATTAGGATTAGCAACCATAAAATAATAAATAAACTTAAGTACTTAACCTCCCATTAGGTTGCTAAGGAATATCTAAAGCTACGCTCAAAAAGTCTCTACTTATTCCATTCTCTGGCATAACAGAAACGCTAAAAACGCAGTAACACTTGGAAAATATGGTAACTTTTACATCAGAAAAGAAAACTATAGTGATTGTTCTATGAAAGTGGCTGCAAAAGTATAGATATAGCTTCGTTAAGTTTCTTTTAGTTATATTTTCATAAGAAAGATTCCAATGTGATCATGACCAATACAAATCATTTCACTTTCAGGTGGTCCAAGGGAAGCAATATGAGGCAGCCAAATAACCGATGAGTAGAATGATAATTTTTTCATTATAGAGTTTGTCATATAAACAAATTTGCTTCCTCGTACCTATAAAAACAAAGCACTAAAAAGAACTAGAGAAGAAATCCCAAGTGAAATATATGGCAGTAAATATATAAGACAAGATCTGCTTCAGCTCTTGTTGAAGGAAAACTGAGTTAACCTGACTTTGGTCCTAAAAAATTATTTCTTTCTTTCTTTATAACAGTAAATATACAAGAAATCCCTAGTGGAGGGTACCAAGAGGAATAGACTGGGTATAAATACAAAATGTAAAACTGATATGTAAATAATAATCCTTCTTTCTTTACTTGAAAGAAGCTATAATTAATTTTCTGACCACAACAAACAATTCTACAGCAGTTTAACGCAACTGCAGAATCCATTGATTAAAGCATATAAAAGCTTCCATGCAAGTACAACAAGAACAAAACATATTGTTAAACTAACCTTTTACGTAAACAGGATTATTAACAATAATCCTGTCTTTTGAAGCATCTGGAAACGAAGAGCATCTTTATGAAGCAAGCTATTGCTATGTTCTTCTAGAGCACTCATCTGCATATTCCTATTGCCTTCATTCCCATAAAGATTTCTTCTGTGAAACAAACAATCAATGAGAGAAAACACTCTCAAGGAATTAATTTGTGAAAACAAAATGAAAGCCGAAAACAAGATTGAGACCATCAAGTACCTAAATTGAAGTAATCAACTTTCTTAGTCACCTTCGAACTTGCTTGTTGCACAGAGTTGTAACAGTCTTAAAAGATGAAAAGCTACAGTGTGAAGTATGATGGACTTTAGCCCTAAAAGAAAGAGTGAGAAGGTAGATTGAAGCCAAATTTAGGACATGAATTGGTATAATAAACTAATTAATTTTTCAAATATAATTGAAATTTGGATAAACAAGCAACAACTAGTATAATGATTAGGAAGGTCACTTAATCTGTCATCTTTACCAAATGAATAAAAACTGAAATATTGTATTGGGAAGATCACTTGGTGTGCCTCTTCAAATATCATATCAAACACCCTCTTCAAATTCCATATTTTAAGGTTTTAAAAAAAGGTGAAAATTGTATAAACAACGACCACCACTACCAAGCCTTTTTCCCAACTACTTGGGGACGGCTACATGAATCCTATGTTTCCATACCGCTCTATCTAAGGTCATAGACTCAATCAAGCATATGCTATCATATCCTTCTTTACTAACTCTACCTACATTAACTTAGATCTTCCTCTTCCCCTAGTATGTGGACTATGTCACTCTTCCTAACTAGCACTTCTAAGGTCTTATTTGCACACGTCTAAACCATCTTAACTGATTTCCTCTCATTTTATCTCTGATTTGTGCTATTCCAACCATCTTCCGAACGTGATCATTTCTAATTCTATCCTTCCTAGTCTTACCGCAACTCCATCTCAACATTTATATTTCCGCCACACTCAATTTATGCCTATATTGTTTCCCAACAATTTATGCCAATATTGTTTCCTAGTTGCCCAACACTATGTGCCATAAAGTATGGGTACCCTAATAGTGGTTCGATAGAACTTCCCTTTCAATCTTAAGGGGATACGCCTATCACAAAATAGACTAGATGCACTCCTCTATTTATCCCATCTTGTCTTGGGTATCTTCATATATGCTAACAATGGATGTAGGGATATAGTCATTGATTTGAAAGCTAAAATTGTTGAAGGATTTAAATATTAAAGCTACAACCTCTCTAACAACTTAAGCTTTTAGAGTAGATGGTTGTTAACATGGTATCGGAGCAGGCAAACTCTGTGTTCAAACTTCACCGTCACCCTCATAATTAAAATTAAAACACGTGTTGTTTAAGTGTGAAAGTTAAACATTAAAGTTATACCCTCTCTAAAAATTTAAGCTTTTAGAGTACATGGTTGATAACAAAAGTAATAAAAAACTTCATATGAAAGACTTTGTTCATATGAGATAAAAGAAAGAACGATAATATGAATATTCCAAGTTTGTGTCTCGTGTTGTGAAAATTAAGCATTGTAATGTTTGTACCTATTATAAATATTAGTGTGAAATATCATTTTTTTTGTACCAAATAAAATGTGTATGACCTTTAATCATGCTCAATTTTCATGGAAAAACATGACCCCGTGTATAACTAATTCAACTCAGACACACACACACACACACACACACAGATTTCATGTGTAGCCAGCCAAAAATAATATACATAGCTGCCCATCCAAACATGGTATCTCCTACCCCCCAAAGTGGAAAGTTAGGGTTTAAGTTTTCATAGGGGTAAAAGAGTGTGAGTATTTTGCCAAGGTAAAATAAAATAAATAAAAATCTCTCAACTTCCTTTTGCAATTAATAATTCCACTTAAGCCTTTTCCCAACATTGAACTATCCAATATATTTACAAGAGTAAGATGTACAAGCAATAGCTTATAACATATAATCAAAGTATTAAAGGATTACTAAAGCTACTCCAGCAGGAAGTTTGGTTCCAAGGTATTTGGCACGCTTTCTCGCTGTTTTTTTCTCCTTGGTCTCCATAAACTCCCATGGACTTCCTATAAGAAGTGGATTGCGAGGATCAAAAGTAATCTTCTCAAGCATGACAGCACTCTTAATTAAATACATTGCAAGCTCAACATCAATTGCAAGCCCAGCAAACCCAATGAATTCCACCACCTTAAGGTACTGATGGGGCCGAGATGTAAACCGTCGCCGTTTTCTTCTCACAAATTTTGACAATTGCAGCTGTAACAAGGAGGCATGGAGTCATACGGTGCTTTAAACATTTAAGTAAACCATTAACATACAAAACCAAAATACCAAGCACTAAATTTTAATTGCTGAGAGCAAGTTAGAATCATGACATTGCTAGACTCAATGGAAGAGCCAAAACGAAATGATCCACACGTTCCATGGAGATTGAACACCAATATGACTAATCAAGATTAACAAAATTTCTTTTATGACATTAGTCACTCTGCTTATTGTTTTTTTTTTCCCTAGTTATCGCCTATTTTGATTTCACTGTGCGTATTGTTGCAACCATAAATAATTATTCTGGCAATTTAAAAAACCTTTAATTGATCCATAAAAAAATTACTCAAGCACTCAAGAAATAAAATCAAGACAAGTTTAAAAGCTTAGGAATGACAACCAATGGATTAACTATCAGTAGTAACAGAAAGAGGATGATTCCCATTGTGTCGTTGGTTTGCATTTTTCATCTTCCAATCATGGGATCAAATTTCTGAAAGGGGTTTCTTAGTTTGTTTTGTTCTTTAATTGTCTGTGCCTTTTAATTTATTGAAGGATCTCTGTTCCTTCTCAGTTCTCCCTAGTGCAATATCAATTACTCCTTTTTCACAACATTGTTCTCTTAACACCTTTCTAAGAGTTGATGAACTAATAGATTGGTGGGTTCATTCTAAGCATGCATGCTTGGGCCTAAATAACATGGAATCACTGAATCAGTCACATCCTCAATTATTGATCTATATGGATGTTTTTGCCTTTAAACCAAAACAACTCAGACACAACAAGATAAACCAAAAATGGACTATAACACTGAGCAATCACTCAAAAGTAAACCATATTCGAATTACACTTGTGAGAGCAAAGAATCCTCGATACTAGCATGGTTAAAAGAGGGAAACAAAAATAGAAGAAGAAAAACTGTGTTAGAGATGAATTCACACGGTTCTGAAGGGCAACAAGATTGAATCTAACCAAATAAGGATACAACCTCAAGAGGACCTACTCTCGGAGAAGTTCTTGAGCAATTCATTAGTATCCATGGCAAAGGTACTTGAATAATCATGAGAATAAAGCAATCTTAGAATGTGTAACATATTACATGACCATGTAAAACTATTAGGTAGTAAATATTAAATCAACATGGGAACAACACAATGATATAAATGCAAGTTGTAAAGTAAAACTCATTACCTCCAACACAAATTTATACAAGAAAGGACATGCCTCTATTAGGGGAGCAAAAACCATAAGGTCTTCATTTTCAATTGCACTAATTCTCAACTCCAGTTGCTTGAGCTTATTAAATACAGGAAATTTGGCTAAACCAATACTATTCTGAATAAACCAAGGAAAAACTAAATCAGCATAGATTATTAATTATGGTAAAAAAGAACATAAATAAAAATTAAGGGGGGGAGATCAAATGAATTTGTTACACTCACTAACCTTGATGGAGTTCATGTGCAACGTAAGGCTCTCTAGCTGGGAAAGATAGCTTGAAATCCCCAAAAAGTTATAAATAAGATATTTGCAATACTCACCCCCGATATACATTTCAACAGGCTCCTGGAGGTTCTTAAATGGCAGGCCTATTTTTGGTCCGAAGTATTTAAAAGACACAAGATTCATTGCAGAAATCTCAATACTTTCCACGTAGTGGCAATAAATTATCTCCAAGCACTTCAATTTGATTGATACATTAGGAACTTTCAGATTTACTAGACAGTCAGAGGCTTCTACAGACAATTGTTCCAGAAATGGACAGTTAGTTAAGAAGTACTCGAGAACTTGTCCAGTTACATTCACATGTGCCAGCAGGAGATTGGTTAGGGAGTTGCAGATAGTAAACCCAAGAGACAATGAATGCAAGTGATTTGTAATCCGACCCGTGTCAGGAAAATTGTAGCCCGTACTTCCCCAACTTACTGGGAAGTCTAACTCAAGCCTTTTAACTCTCTTTTCTATTGCAAAATTAACCCAATTGTCAATATCAAATCTACAACTTTCATCAAGATCAAATTGAACTCTGAATTGATCTATACTTGGACCATTGTACAATTTCAAGACTTGATTTACCCAACTCAAATACAAAGGCCTTTCTACTTCAAGTTCCTTATTTCCCAGTAGCACTTCATATATAACATGTAAAGCATCAAAGTTCAAACCAGTAATGTGTGTCCACATATACCTCCATCTCTTTGATAGGAGACTAGTTCTTCCAGCTTCTTTCATTGTCAATAGTGATAAGATGGAAACAATGACAACATCAGGAAGTCCACTAATGTGATCCTCCAAACACAACCCTCCTTTATCAACCTTCTCACTATTGCATTTTTTTTATAAACAAAAAAAAAAATAAAAATTATTAAGAAATTGTGATAACAAAAACAACACAAAAATGCTCAATTTTTGTAACATAAGTTGTTCATCGAAAAATAAAATAAATAGAGATATACAAATCCATACATTAGTGAAAAGATGGTTTGAATTTTTACCTGGTTTTCTCCATGGGATTTGATTTTGTCCAAAATCCAACACAAACAGCTGAAGATTCGAGAGATTGCTAGGAGAAGATGAACAGATTAGAGACTTGCTTGCTTTGTTCCACGCAGTGAAAAAAGTAGCAATTTTGCCTATAAAACAACATCACATTCATACTCCGGGTTGAGTAAGGTTTGTACTCTTCGTGTCTTACTAGGTTTAGGATTTTTTTTTTTTCTGCCAAAAAAAAAAAAAAGAAGAAGAAGAAAAAGAAAAAGAAAAAAAAATAAAAGAAGAAGAAGCAGAAAACGTACGCAGTTGCTGGTCGCCCACTTTTCTGAGAAACAAAAGGCAACAGAGAAAATAATAGTAAAATAAAATAAAAAGGATAAAGTGCAAAAAAAAAAAAATTTGTTATACAGAGAATGTGTAAATATCTTTTTTGTTTAAAAAATTACCTTATATTTTTCAAATTGAGTAAATATTAAATAAGGACAAATCTTCTATATGAAGACTGAAATTTTTAAAATGTCCTTAAGGCAAAATATAAAAATAATAATAATAATAATAATTTTAAAAACTTTAAATTTCAAAAAATAAACAAAAAATATAAATAAATAAATAAAATACTAAATATATAAGGGCATTTTACAAAAATATATAAAAACCCCCCAAAAATTATATATTTATTGTTTTATTTATTTTTCTATTTTTTATTTACTAAAAAAAATCCCTAAAATCCCTTAAAGTTATTTTGGGATTTTTTTAAAAAAAATTTGGTCAAAATTGTTGACCGGGGACACTTTGTTACAAAATTTTAAAATATAGAGATTTATATGCAATTTTTAAAAAGTAAAGGTGTTTCTTGTACATTTTTTATATAGCATGTGAGTATTTTTGCACTTTACCTAATTAAATGTAGTAATACATTAAGGCCTGCCATAATATGGAGCTTTAATTTTTGTTTCATAAGATCCAACTTCAAAAGTAAAGACTAAAAAGGTTAAAGTTAAATTTTCTATGAGTTTTAAAAATTACGTATTATATCTATCTCGAAACTCAATATTTATTTAGACAACAATAAATGTTATAAAAATTAAAAATGGGAGGCCAATTGAAATTTTTTATGAATTTTGGAACAAAAACTGAACTTATTTGCAAAATAACTATTGAAACCTATGGTATATCCCAAAATTTCAAAATTTTCAAAATTTTTGGATATGCCTTCCTCCTTTGTCAACACCTTTCATCACTGTTTTAGTCTTTCAGTGCAACATTACTCTTTTTTAATTTGGGATTAGCAGAAAAAGTAATAATAATAACTAACACAATGCATCATGGTAATGTTCTTTTTTTTTTCAACCAATTAAATACTAGTCCACTAAATATTAAATGTTCCAAGAATATCTAATAATTTTTTGAAATTTCAATGGCATTTTTCTCTTCTAAAATAGAAAGTCAACTGTTGAAACCGTGCGCTCAAGGACGGACCTACATGTAGTTAAGGGGACAATTGTGTTCCCTGATGTGTTTTTTTTATTTTTTTATAGTAATTTACTCTTTGTTAATTTGGTTTTTTCAATTATACACCTATAAAATATTACTATTGTCCCCGGAAATTAGTAAAAAATTCATTATTGCCCACCTCATCTTTATTTTTCGGTCCTTCCCTGGGTGTGTTGGGTGTGTTTTGTAAAAAGTATATATATATATATAATTCGGTGGTACAAAAGAGGAGGAATTCAAAAATAGAAAAATAATCAATAAAGAAATAAAAAGAAATAATTTTTCCATACGAAACAAGTACGTCGCCGTTTGAAAAGAAGTCTATGTTCAGATTCGAGAGAGCTGTTCAAATGTTCGGTGGCTAAGAAATGGGGAAGACAACAATCTTGATATTGTAGCATTCCTTTATTATTATTTTTTTTTTTCAAGTTTTATCAAACAATCAGAAACTAAAAACAACAGTATAGCCCTAATTATTTAATTGAGAAATGTTATGACGCATGTGTGATGACACAGTTGAGTACACAAATCTTAGTCAAAATAATATTCTGAAGTGTTTTTTGGGTTTTATTTGGTAATTTGTGTAACAAATTCAAATTACACAATATAACATCACAAATTCAAATTACAAAGATAATGTTATATATATATATATATATATATATATATATATATATATATATAACTAGGGATGGCAACTTGACCTGTCCACGCGGTTACCCATCCCGCCCCGTCCCATTTTTGGCGGAGTTGGAGGACCGTTTTGCTTATTTGGGCGATGATGGTTTGATATAATAAAAACCCATTTTTTGCGATTTTGGGGGACCATTTTGCTTATTTAGGCGGGGATTGTTTGATATAATAAAAACACATTTTTGGCGGTTTTGGGGGACTGTTTTGCTTATTTGGGCGAGGATGGTTTGATATAATAAAAACCCGTGCAGGTTTCGCGGGTTTGGTGCGAGGGCGGGGGAAGGTCGCCCCGCACCACCCCGCCCCGTTTAGATAGGCAAATTACATAATTACCCTTATTCATTAGTATATATATTTACCATTGTATATTAAGTACCCCATATAACAATATTAAATTAATAAATGAATTTGATTAAAATGAGAGTTGCAATTGTAAAGAATTGAAGAAAAAAAAAAGAAAAAAATTCTATTTCAACAATAAATAAATTATGGTCTTAAATGGGGCGGGGCGGGTACCCGCAGGGATAAAAATGTTAAACGGTTACGGGGATGGAATGAAAAGTTCCCTCGTTTTTGCGATTTTGGGCAGGGACAGGGACGGAATTTTTAAACGGTTGCGGGGGTGGGGGAAGGTACACCCGCCCAAACCCGCCCCCCCGTTGCCATCCATAATAATAACAGAAAGAAGATGTATGCTTAAGATAATGTCATTATAGGACTTTTGCATGTTGGACCTGAAAACAAATCAATGGGAACGACTAAATTATAAAGGACCTCTAAGTCCAACGGGTCATCAGATGGTACATAAGTTCAATCAAATTAAAAATTTGTTAGTGGATTGTTTTTAAATAAAACTCAACTCACATTTGTGATTTGACTTAGGTTATAATTTTAAATAGAGCGAATGAGTCATCCATTTTGAAAAATTTAACTCATTACCATCTTTTATTTTTAAGTCATATTCCTTTTATATACTTATATACTACTTATCACATATTAGATGTCTACTTTAGTAACTTTGACTGACAAAAATTGTAAATCAAAGTTTTTGAAATGAACAATTAATATAGGACGGAGGTAATATAATTTTTTTAAAACTCCATCTGTGAGTAGGGATGGCAATTTCCTCCAACTCGCTGGGTTTCCGCCCTGCTCCGCTCCTAATGGGACAGATTTGGTAGTTCCATAAATGGGTTTGGGGCAGATATGTTAAAGAATTGAAAACCCGAAACGGGTTTGGAACGTGGGCGGATTTAGTGATGCCCCCGCCTCGCCCAGCCCCCGATTATATATATATATATATATAAGTTAAGTGTCCATTAATATATTTTGACTAAATATTCGCTAGAATCACTACTTACTAAAATTTCACAATTTTGCACGTGATTCAATCTTCAAGAATCAATCAAGGATTTAAGATCTTAGTATTCTATCCCAAGTCCAATAATTAATTCAACAGTTTCAACTTTACCGTAATTAAACGGAGTATGGGGGGCGGAGTCTATATTTTGTCTACCAGAAGAGAGGTGGGGATAGTATACCAATTATAAACCCGTCCCGAAATTGGAGCGGAGTTGGTATGATAGATTTTTTAACGGGGCAGAGTAGGGTTTAGCTAACTCCGCCCCGTTGCCATCCTTATCTGCGAGTGTTTCCGGACTCTAGACCTTTCAAACAAATATTTATGTTTAGTTCTCCATCTTAACATCTTAAGAAAAGTGATTTTGATATAAAAGACAAATTAGTTTTACTTTTTATTGAATTATCTTTATTTTCTTTTTTATATTTAAATATTAATTATACTTTTACACAGCTTTAATAATTAATACCATTAAAAAAAAAATGGGGGCATTTAGTTATAAGCTAAGTCATATAAAGTGGGTGTAGGAGGGGAGTGCAAGTACGAGTACGAGTACGAAAGCGTAAAAGTGATAAAATCTAAGTCATACATAATGAGAACGGGAGCGAGAGCGCGTGCAGAGTACGAAAGCGAGAGCGCGTGCAGAGTACGAAAGCGAGAACAACACTCGTTTAGAAGAATTGTGCGACTTAGGTGATAAGAACCACCAAATTTAGTATGAATTTTTTTTTCATAATTTGTTCTAATAAGAAAGGGTATTAAATGTAATTAAAAAAGAAACAGAAAAATTGGAATTAAAAATTTTTTTTTAAAAAAAAAAAAAAAAGAAAGAAGAAAAAGAAAAGTTTACTAGTGAAGTTTAGACCTAGAAATATTTACAAAAAATTTACTAATGCCACTATGAGTATCGCTGAATCTGAATACGCTAAAATAGCAAAGCCCATTTCTCAAAATTTGACTTTGTTAACCACAAAACCCGAGAGAAATTACTTGGTAAATCATATTCTTCTTTTGACTTGTATTTTTATTTAATTTTATTTTAATTTTGTACACACTAGCAATATTATTCCTAACGAGACTTAAACATTCAACTACACTTTGAGAAGGCGAGATCATAACAGACTAGGACGGACCTACATGCATGCCCCTGAAAATTCCACACTTTGTTAGCAATATTATTTTAAAATTTTATTTTTCCTCTGGGTTAAACAGTCAAGAACTCTAGGATAGTAATAATTAGTTAATATATATATATATATATATATATATATATACCCTATTGTTTTTTTAAAATTGTTTGTATGGTTTGTGATTTCAAAAAATTATAAATGTCAATAAACAGTGGCAAAGAATACCACCACAGTGTGTCTTGGGACGTAAGATTTGAGTCTAACATTCCGAAAATATGGACTTGAGCACAAGAAGGTCCGTGATTGGGCCTTTATTTTTTTTGCAATGGTGCTTATTATCAACCCAATCCAATCCACAATGCCCCAAATGTCCAATCTGAAAATAACAGAGCAGATTGGGCTACTCAAGAGTGAAAAGACATTTATTACAATAACTAATACTGATACGAAGAGTCGGGCCTAATTTAGGTTTCTGTAACCAGCCCGACCCAAAACAACAATTGTAATTTGGAAGGCTGGTGGTCTTTGCGAGGACATTAGCCTTCCAAATTTTTATATGCGCATGGGAATATTAGTCAAACAATTCTTTTAAAGCTCGACTAGGTTATTTCAAATACTGAAGTATATATGAATATAGAATCAAATCTATATCTATATTTAT